CCCCTTGCAGCGGGGCCCTGTTCCCTCCCCCCCCAGCCATAACGGCGGTGAAAACGACCCAAAACTGCAACACGGTGCAAAAACAAACCCCCCCCAAAAAACGTAGCGCGGTTCCCCGGAGCCAGGCCGGGGGTGGGAGCTGCGGGCAGCGCTGGCTCCCTGCTGCAGGTTGGGCACCCCGGGCCCCGCCGTGCCCACCGGCCTCTCCTGCTCTTTGCCGGGGCTCTCGGCGGTGGTTCTGGGTTCATCTGGGGAGAGGGAATGGAGGAAAAATGGCAAAGCATCCCAAAGGTGTACTCGTTGGGGTGGGTGAGCTTTGAGAGGGAAACGGGGCTAAAACGTGTCTGTCCCGGTGTGTTCTGAGTTACTCTGGTGCAAGGACTGGTTTCTCGGGCAGTTTTGTGGCACCGAGGGCTTCGAGACTGGTGCCGTTCTGTGAATCAGGAGTTGTGCTGCTGTCTGCAAATCATTAAGTTACCTTATGGAGCAGCCAGAGATAGCGGCCCGGGGATTGCCCTTCTCTGCCTTCCCCACACCTCCCATCCTCCATATTGACTCTGTTGCTCCTCTTCAAAAGCTTCGTACTGGAGCAGATTTCCCTCTCGAGGTGGTTTTCTCATCTTCCTTTGATGACCTGAAATTTTCCCAGGCTCGTAGCGTGCAACAACGTTCCGAGCCTAAATGAACCTCTTCTCAGTGGCCTGCAAAAACCCGTGCCAGGACTGAGCTCCTGTGCTAACATGCCCGTTTGAAGCAAGAATGCAGTCCAGATCCCCAAAATATTGGGGTCAACGATGCATCTGGATTCCCCTAGAGCCAGAGGAGGCGACGCAGCGTTATTTCTGAAACGCAGAGATTTGTGAGGAATGTGGTGCTGGTGGGTCACCCCGGCGTATGAAAGCCACCTGTGTTTGATTAAGGTGCAGTCTCGCTTTCAGCCTGGATTTTCTTTTGGAGTATTTTTCACAAGCCTTAAAAATCCTGTCGTGGGGTGAGAATTGCCTAGATCGGTAGCCAGATAAAACCAGGCTGCCATGGAGTGACTGGTGTGTGTGCTGCCCGAGTGGGCTCTGCAGAGGAGTTAGTGGCAGTGCAGAAGATGCCATGTGTCCTGTGGCACGCAAGTGTAGATCTCTTGGATTTGGGGACTGCCAGATCCCAGGGTTCTGTAAACCCACCAGTGCTGGGAGATAGGCCACTGGTTTAGCATAGTAGCAGCTGTACCAGTGATGCTGAATGTAAAGTTTTGGGATATTGTCCTTTTTAGAGTGTACCTGGTTTGAGTCTGGTTCTGTACTCTCTGAAGTTGCTGAGAGCTTTGCTGTTAATTCTGGTGAAAAAGAGGCATTGATTCAGAGCGAAATTAGTGGTTTGTAATCTTAGAGTGTTTATGTACAGAAATAGTCATTTTTTTTTTCCTCATCTGTTTCAGCTGAACAAACTTGTTCACCTTGGAGCTACAAATACTGGTGATTTGAAACTTCAGCTCATCCCCCACTGTTCCTGCCCAAGCAAGCACCAGAAAAATGAATATCCAGGGGAAAGGCTTCCCCTTGGACCTTGGAGGAAGCTTTACTGAAGATGCTCCGAGACCACCGGTTCCTGGTGAGGAGGGGGAACTCGTGTCCACAGATCCCAGGCCAGTTAGCCACGGTTTCTACTCTGGTAAAAGCGATGTCATTAGAAATGAGACGTCCACGGCAACACCGAGACGCTCCGATTTGGATTTGGGGTACGAGCCCGAGGGGAGCGCTTCACCAACTCCACCCTACCTGAAGTGGGCCGAGTCGCTGCACTCCTTACTGGATGATCAAGATGGTATCAACCTCTTCAGGACTTTCCTGAAACAGGAGGACTGTGCGGATCTCCTGGACTTCTGGTTTGCCTGCAGTGGTTTCAGGAAGCTGGAGCCGTGTGCGTCTAACGAGGAAAAAAGGCTCAAGCTGGCAAAAGCCATTTACAAAAAATACATCCTTGACAACAATGGCATTGTGTCCCGGCAGATCAAACCAGCCACAAAAAGCTTCATCAAAGACTGCGTCATGAAGCTGCAGATTGACCCTGACATGTTTGACCAGGCCCAAACGGAGATCCAGTGCATGATAGAAGACAATACCTACCCTTTGTTCCTTAAGTCGGATATTTATTTGGAATACACAAGGACAGGTGGGGAAAGTCCAAAAATTTATAGCGATCCCAGCTCCGGGTCTGGGACAGGTAAAGGGCTACCTGGTTATCTGCCAACTCTGAACGAGGACGAGGAGTGGAAATGTGACCAAGAGGCCGAGCCCGAGGCCAGCAGGGACTCGGCACCCTCCAGCAGGCTCACGCAGAAGCTGCTCCTGGAGACAGCCACCCAGCGTGCCTCCTCGGCCCGGCGCTACAGCGAGGGCAGGGAGTTCAGGTAGGACAGTCTCCAGGGAATGGCTCGGGGGGGGATGGAAAGCCTTGGAGGACCTTGGTGGTGGGGAGCGCTCGGGGATGGGGAGGCAACCGCAACGGGATGGTGTCACGCGGGGGCTTTGGTGGAGTGCAGAGTTTTACTGGGAGGTTTTACGGGTTATTTTAAGGGTGGCTTTGGCTGTTCCTGTTTGATTGCCCTGAATCATCCCTGCAGCA